CCCAATGTAGCTTTGCTGTAACAAACTACACACTTTAATTCCAAGAAATAAAAAAAAAAAATACAGATTTATACTACACGTATATACCATGTTAATAGTATTATTATTATTATTTCAAAATCTCGTGAGATATCTCGTGAGTTGTGATATTGGAGATGGAAGATGGCGACTCGTCGAGCTAATTTATCCAATTCAACACCAATAGACTGGTTTTCTGATGCTGGAAGAGAGCTTTTCGAAGCTTGCAGAAGTGGAGATGTTTCTAGGGTTAAGAAACTTGTAACATCTCAAAGTGTTAATGCTCGAGACACTGCTGGAAGGAAGTCAACACCTCTTCACTTTGCAGCAGGTGAGTCATCGTAGTTGTGCTCTGGTGGCAGAACACTAGTACCAGGGCAAAAGTGGAGGCTCGCAGTACTGCATTCTAAATACCAAATAATTAGTTGAACTAGGACTAGCTAGGCATACTGTCATTTTGGAGTTTATATTTTAATTACATCACAGATTTGATACTGTAAAACTTAAAAACAGTGGAAATTCTGTCCTCAGTCGGTGAATACTGCAATTGATGACATGATGTCATTCTCAATAACTTATTTTGAATGAGTGGATAGTAAAGACGGTACTATGTAATAATATTAATTAGAAATGGAAATTATAACTTTAAAGTTTAATTTTAAGACTTATCAAGACATAAAAATAGTAATAATAACTAAGTAGAAACACTAACAGGTAAACGTAAAGGTATGTAACAAGGAAAGATGTACATAATTTACATCTGACCTGTATTAATTTTAAGTTAACAAATTAACATAACATATGGAGAACTGAGCAAAGGACCAGTTAGTTACTTTAGCTTCAAGGCTGTCTCAAGATACCTAAACACCCATCACCCAAAAAAGTAAAAATTATGTAAGGTGTCAGTCTCTACTAATACTATTGCTGACACAAACCCATTCTGTTACTGTTAGCAAAAATACAACTGTTGTAAATTTAGCCTAATCTATCTTTTCAACATCTTAAACTTGTGTACCCTCATGCTTTTGTCTTCAGAATCCAGCACAAAAATCAGAGGTCTTTATCCTATTAATCCCCTATATAATTTTGTAAACTTTAATAATGATAGGAACATATGAGTGAAAATAAATAATGTAATAATATGTCAGCCACTATATATATCATATGCTATATCCAGCTCTGAGGAGGCCTTTCCCTGAATACCAGGGCTGTTGGGGTATGGTAGACATATTGGTTGAGATATTATTTATATCATCAATTGCTTGAACAATAACTGTTTTGGTGTGAAATAGATTCATTTTGTGAACTGTAAATTTTTATCAGTTAAATTAAGCCATTACAAATGAGTATTAGGTTTATGATTGTAATTAACATCAAGTTATTTGTTTAACAGTCAATAGTGTTTTTTATTAATGTTTATTTATTTGTTTATTTTATTAAATTCACTTTATTCATCCTTAAGAAAAACTGATGAACCTCTGTCAGGGTTTTATGTATATGTGGGCTGGGATTCTTTTTTAGTAGGTTTCTGTGACTTGTTGGTGATAAATTTGAACAATAGGTAGCACACAATCCACTTGTTTTAAAATAATATATTCAAAACAAGTCAAACGTTTGTATAAAAAAATTCTTTACACTGTGGAATATCACAGTTGTATTTAAAACACAAAAAAAATCATTTTTTTTTCCAAAGTCCACTTAGGCTGATTCAATTACTTTAGAATCAAGTTGACAAGATGAACTATTTTTCTCTAGTCATATCACAATAGTATCAGTGAATAATCCACTTACACTATATTGTGGGTTACCACAGTTGTATCTCAAACTTTAAATAATTGTCTCATTTTCATCAAAGTCCACACAGATGGGTTCAGTTACTTTAGAACATCACTTCACAAAACAAATTATTCTCCTTATCTCTATTAAACTGTGAAACTCACTTTAAAATATCGTCCATTATGGCTAATCACTCACACGGTGACCAACTTCATGTTTTTGTTTGCTAACTAATTTTCTCACTGAACTGCACTTATTTTTGCTCTACTTCACTTAACTTGCACTCGCTAGTCACCTATATTTCACTGAGTCTTCAAACTTTCTCTAAACTATGTGAGCGGCACTGTAAGGTAACAATATTCAATTAAGTTAAAGAGAAAAATACCGAAGATTTGAGTAACGTAATGTCAACAGTGTAATTGCATACACAACGTATGATTCATACAGAGTTACATAACAAAATTTGTCACAACTAACACTTTTAAAACAATCCATCTTCATCACTTCAGTCTTAAAAACTAAACAAACATTAAATATTAACTCACAAAATAAATTAAATGATAACACCTGCACTAAACAGTCTTGTATATCCAACAACCCAAAAAGAAAATAAAGAAATCATAATCTATTCCCATAAAATATCCCTTCCATCATTGGAATCATCTTAGTGGCCTTCCTGTTGCTATTGGGTAGGTTTCTGTCTATATTAAGTCTGTGATTTATATTAGGATAATTATATTTTGCACTTAGAATAATTAAAGAACATTTGGCACATATTTTTCAATTTATCAATCGATCACACTCATCCTGTAGTACCTTGAAATCATCAATGCAGCTAGAAATACCCAAGTTTTAATGTCTTCAGTGATCCTTACTGATTCATTAATTTTAGTTCTATTAATATTGTTAATGTAAATAAGAAAAACAAAGGTCCAAGCACTGACTCTGGAATCACACACTAGTAATATATGTCTCGTTTGACTGGATTTCACTTAATGGCTTTTTACTTTCTTTAACCCATATATATCTAGTCTTTCTTTTTTTAGCTGAGGCATAGTGAATTGTAGAATGGCTCTGAGTTTTACAAGTACAAACTGTTAGCTCATAGCTACATCATCTCTTGACTTATTTGAGATTTAATTACAATTTTGGATTTAGGAATTCAAATGTGTTCTATTGATGTATTTGACCATGCCCAAAGTCTCTTAGATTAAGTTATTCTAATCCTGCCTAAAGGAATTGGAATTTGAGGGTAGGCTAGTAGAGATCTTGAAGAGAAATAAAATTAAATCATGTATACGTGCGTTCAACACTTGGTATTGCTGTCGCACAAAAATATAGCTAATCAAAAGGAAAAAAAAAGATCTTGTAGATTAATTTACTCTAATCCAGCCTAAAAGAATTTCAAGTGCCATGGCTATTATGGATTCCTTCTTGTTTTATTTGCCAATCCCTACCAATATGGTTTTTTAAACTAATCTTCTGAGGCATCTTATCAAAAGCCCTTTGAAAGTACAGCTTGTTTCTTTTATCCAAGTAACAAGTAACATCTTCAAAAAAAAAATTAATTAATAGGATAATAAGACAAGATTTCCCTTTAGTATACCCATGCTGGCTTTTTTTTATATTATCATGTTCCATTTAATTATTTTGCAAAGCTTCTTTTATCAGACTAAAGAAATGTACCTGTGTTGGCTTTCATTTATATTATCATGTTCTATTTAATTATTTTGCACAGCTTCTTTTATGAGATCAAAGATATTTCCTTCTACAAAAACAAGATTACCTGGCCTATAATTTCCATGACAACTCTTATCATCCTGTTAAAAATAGGAGTAACATTGGCAGCTCTCCAGTCTTCAAGCAACTGCCAACTGTCTACTGACTTACAAGAAAAAGAAAGAAAATAAAATAACAATAGAATCTTGACTGCCTTAGTTACCGTCTTGTATGATTAGATGGGGATGTCATTATTTAAGATTTTTTTATCATTAGACAGTTTCACTGATAGTGATTGGGAGTGTAAAAGTGTTGTAAATAACACATTGAAATAAATTTTAATTTATTACAAATGAGAAGAAGGGAATACAATGTAAATTGTAGTAGAGAAATTGTTTGTAATATAGGGAGGTTCGCCGCAGTACTTCGTGACGTAGTTCTGGGCATGCGCAGTGAATTGGTTGGCAAGAACCATTCATAAAAATATGGCTGATCGTACATCACATTTACCGACATTAGGTAGTAATTATTCGCCTTATGTAAACTTATGTTTTTTGTCAACAGCTGATTTCAAAATGTGACAACTTTGTAAAGACATTTATTATAAAAGAACTTGTAACCAGACAATTAGAGAATGAACCCCAACACAACTCCACTGATGACAACAACAACGACAACGAACAGGGACTTATTGTATATGTACCGAACCAGAGTATGGTCGTATGATCCGATGCGATGGTGAGATGTGCCCATATGAATGGTTCCACTACCAATGTGTCAACATTCGCCGAAAACCAAGGGGACAGTGGTTTTGTGCCAATTGTGAACAGTAGAGACAATTATCATAAAAAATGAACAATATCTATATCTTTAAATGTTTTCTTTTATTACAGTAATGACAATTATTGAATCAAGTATGTTACAACAATGTACATTTGTAGTTGTAATACAAGAAAAGCAAACATAACAAATCAACAGTATCAAATTTGTTGAAAAATGCTTTTCATTTCTATATTAAAGAATAATGACTCCTATTAAAATTAAGAAACAATATCAATTTAAGTAGACACATTTCTGCATTTGCTCTTTTTTTATGGGAGCAGACAAAATAAAATGTCAAAATAACAAAGAAAGCACTAATTTCAAACAATTAATATTTTATGGATATATATATATAGTTCCTGTACAAGAAAATATTATAAACATTTTTTTTTGTAAATACTTTTCAAATTTCCTCA